ATTATAAATTATTCGGTTTGCAATTGGTATTCGTGGTAATTTCTGGGTGGGCTTATTTTGTGCGCTTCAACTATCGTCATTCAACTAGATCATTGACTTTTCTTTAAGGAGTGAAATGAAATGTTTTTTAGTTTGTTTGTTTATTAACAACATAAGCCAAGTTTGTTTTGTGTTTGTTGTCGTTTCAGAGATCCGATGGACATGATGTTCATGAACGATCATTTCATGAGATCCCCACTACGATTATATTCTGATGTCGATGCCGAAAATAACAACACGAGTCTTTTTTCTGCGGCCATGATGGAAAAAGCAAGAGCCCACCTTCAAATGTGGGGTAGAGGATCGGCGACGGGAACGAGCGGATATTCTTCGGCTGATTTTCACGCTCTCCTCATGAATTCGGCACCCAATAGCGGTATGCAAATGTATGTACAAAATCGAGGATTACCAATGCCACTTCCGGCACATTTATGGATCAGTTCTGGTCCGTCACCGGGAACGGCATCACCTTGGACTCCAAATTCTCATCCGGGTCTTCCACCGGGATTATTAGGTCCTCCTCTTCCTCCGGCTAATTCTTCATCGGTACCTTCTCATCCTACGCAGTTGACTCCGCCACCCGGTTCAAGTTCCTCGTCGGATTCGCCGTCGCCAAGTTCTTCCTCATCGGCCGACCTCAGATTATCTCGGCCTATATTTCCCGGAGTTGGTAACATGCAACATCGATTCAGTCCCTACCATCTAGTCCCGAAACAATTATCTCCGACGCCCGATATTTCGTCAAATACTAGAAGTTAAATTTCTTTTTTTTTTTAAGGACCGTGATTAATACCAGTGATTATGAATTTTTTTTTGTTTCGTTTTTTTTTGAACCAGTGATATAACCCTCACTATTAATTAGCAATCGATATTATTATTATTATTATTATTATTAACTATTTTGAAATATAAATGATAATGTTATACCAAAAAGAAAAGAAAAGAAAAAAAAATTTTTTTTTTGTTTTTTGAACGTGAAAGTTTTTCATTTTTTTTGTTTACTGTTTTACAAAATAAAAAAAAAAAAATTGTGCAATAATATTATGTGTACAATTCTCACTGTTGCAAACCTTACGAAACGAAAAAAAAAAAAAACAAACCGTCACGATATCAATCGTTGATATCCATCTTCTTCGTTTATCAGTGAAAAGAATCATCATTATTAGTATAACCACCACCACCACCGCCACCATTTTAATTCCATCTTAAATTATAACAACGAAAAATTATTATTATTATTATTCTTTTCTTTATAAAATCAATAATAATAATAATAATAATATTATATTTATGAAAAAAAAAATTTTATCGAAATATAAAAATCGTCATGCAATAAAATAATAATAATAAAATAAAAAAATAAAATAAATCTTTTTTTTTTATTTTTTTAAATAAAGACAAATAACTTCCGGTTTCCGGTTCATTTTTCAAAAAAAAAAAAAAATTAATTAATTAAATTATTTTTTATTTTTTATTTTATTTTTCAAACTCGTAGTTAAGGTGGAATTTTTTTGTTTTTTTTCAAAATTTTCAATTTCGATTAAATAAAATTCGCGTCACGTTGGTAAACCTGAACTAGGGTATATGCCGCACGTTTTATTCAACGTAATAAAAAATTTCTTTATTAAATCGGAAAATTATTTTAAATAAAAAAAAAAAAAAAATCAAACCGTACAAACAAAAATTTTTTATCGACGTAATCGTTTCGTAATGATTGCCAACATTAAAAAAAAAAAAATTAAATTAATAATAATAATAATAATGTTATAATAATCTTAGTCCGACGTTTTGTGTTTGTTTTTTAGGGTAAATTTATTATATTAACGCGTGGGAAAATTTTAAAATTTGTATATTATTTTGTATATCCATAAATATTTTCGACTGTATAATTGTAAAAAAATTTACAATCATATAAATAACTTGTGTATAATAATATAATAATAATAATAATAATAATAATAATTGAATGTTTCTGTGATTTTAATTTTCAATAAAATGTAAACATTTTTTTTTTTTTTTTTTTTCGTTAGCAATATGTTGTTAATTGTCACGCGCACGTACACATTTTCTTTTTTTCTTTATTTTTTACCTCTCTCTCTCTCTCTATCCTTAACGCACCCACGCGCACACACGCAATTTAAAAAAAAATATCGATAATATTTTTCTCTTTTACCGAGTTATGAATTGTTCCAATGCCATATTTTTTTTTTTTTTTTTTCATTAAGTTGAACGGGTTTTGATTATTTATAGGTTGATAAGAAAGATGAAAAACCGAACGTGACTCGTCATACTTTTGCAAATTAACATTTTTTTTAGTTGGTCATGCTTTTAATTGCACGCCTTTGGTTTTTTTCTTCATACATACATATACATACATACATTTATATAAATTACTTACTTTTAAAAACAATATATGCCGACGTATTATCCATTTAACAAATGAATCCTTTCTTCCTTTTTCAATATCATTATTATGCCTTTTTTCCTACCTCTCTCTCTCTCTCTCTCTCTCCTCTCTTTTTCTCTCTCAAATGAAATCGTCACGAATGAAAAAAAAAAAAATACGTACATATGTATATACGCAAGACGTTTTAAATGACGAAAAAGTAAAAAAAAAAAATAAAAAAATAAAGGTAAGTACGTTTATTTAATCATCATCATTATCATTATTATTATTATTATTATTATTATTATTATTATTATTATTATTATTATTATTATTATTTAATACAAGATAGATGAGATAAATATTAATATAATCGATCGATAAATTTTTTAAAATTTTTTTTTCTCCGAACGGTTCGTAGTCAAATTTTTTTTTTTTTTAAATGCGTTATTATCATTATCATTATTATTATTATTATTTTCACTTCGAATTCTCTCAAAAGCTAAACGTTAAAAATTAATATAATTAAAAAAAAATTAATTGATTTATAAATGCGATTTTTCTGGAGAAAAGTTTTCCCGGAAAATGTCGCCGGAAAATTTTTTTTTCTTTAATAAATAACATCGTGACGTGAAAAATTCCAAAGAACTAAATTTATTATTATTATTATTATTATTATTATTAAATTTTCACATTATTAATGTATTTAATTTTTATTATTTTTTTGAGGGGGGGGGAAATCGATTCGTTGATATAAAACTTCGGAATATCGATGGATCGATCGATCGATCAATCGAAAAATTTTATCAATTTTTTTCATTCTGGAATTGAAAGAAATTTTTATTAAACGCTGGAGAAAATAAAAAAAATTTGACGGCATCACGAATTTAATTGTGACAAATAATTGTAGTATTTAAGTATTATTATTATTAATGTTTCGAAAAACGATTAGTTTGGTTGTTGTTGTTGTTGTTACGTGTGTGAGCAGACAAACGAACGTTGAAGAAAAAAAAGCCTGAAGGAAGTAGAAAGTCCGTCGGATGTTAAATAAAATTCAATTTAAATTAATTTGACTGTCGGATGAAAAAAAAAAAAAAAAAAAAAGAATTATAACTTTGACTGGTGTTTCATTACCGTGCGTGTGTTTGTGTGTATCTGCCACACACTCTCTCTCTCTCTCTCTTTCTTTTTATGTGGTGATGCTTTCGTGTGTGATGTGTGTACGTGTGTGTGTGTTTGAGAGGTGGTATGCATTCATTGATAAAATTTCAAGACGTCAAATTGCTGGAAACTAAAATCCAGTTTTTTTTTTTTTTTAATTCTACGGTTTTGCCACTCCTACTTTTTCTAACTTTTCAATTAAAAATTTTTTTTTTTTTTTGGAGAACCGCGTGAATTTAATAATTTAATAAAAATTCGTTAGAATGAAATAATGATGATAATAATAATAATCATAATAATAATAATAATAATTTTTATAAGAATTCGATGAAAAGCAAACGAAAAAATTTTTTTTTTTCTTTTTTTTTCCTCGATCGTAAAATTTAAATTTACTGGAATGTTTGTTTTGTTTATCTTTGGTTTTGATTGTTTTGGAATGTTTGTTAGACTATCCTTAAACCTTACTGCTGGAGTTGTTGGTACTGGAGAAAAAAAAATACAACAAACTCAGTTGAAAAAATCAAGTCGAAGTTCAACAAGTAAAAAGATCTAAAAAAAAAATTCGAAATTTTTTTTGCCCTTTAATTTATTATTATTATTATTATTATTATTATAAACTGTTGCGCGTTTGTTCGATTCGATCGTTTGTTTGTTTGTATAAAAAAAAATCTACCTTTTTTTTTCTGTTTCGAGTGTGTTAATTTTTATCAAACCTTTTTTTTCTTTTTTTTTTCGTACCCCCTGCAAACCTTTTATTACTTTTCCTTTCATTACCACTCGTGGAAAAAAAAAAAAAAATTTATTACGTCATAGTCGAATGATTTCAAGTACGGTTACGTTAAGAAGAAAAAAAAATGTCTTCTGCCACGTTAGAAAAAATTTTTTTTTCTTTTTATTAATAAAAGGAAAAATCGAACTCATTTAAAAAAAAATCAATAAATAAATTTATACAAAAAAAAAAAATTTTTTTTAACGTGGCAGTAGATAAATTTTTACATACAATAGAATAGTATGGTATTAAAAATCTTGATTTCCCGATTCTGTATTAAATAATTTTAAATTATACGTTTTATGAGTGAATTATTACTCGTCTTAATATATATTAAAAAAAACCCGTACCCTTTTTCTTTTTTTTTTTTAATTTTACGTACGTGTTTGCACACAAACAACAACAACAAAAAATTTTAAATAATAATAATAATAAGTTTTTCGTGTGCGTAAATTATTTTCGCTGGAAGGAAAAACAAAACGCAACAACAACAACAATTAAATTTTTTTTTTTTTTTTTTGTTTAAATTCGAGTTGGTTGGTCTTTCATGAATAATTTAAAGGTGGTAAATTAATATTACGGTTTCGTAATGAAAATTTTATAATAATAATAATAATGATAATGATAATAAAAGATATTGTTTATTTCTCGAATAGAAGAGAGGGGAAAGAGAGAGAGAAAGAGAGAAAAGAAAAAGAGAAATTTTTTTTTTTTTTAATTAGTAGTTTAATATGAGAATTTGATTCGGTCGTAAGAAAAACATTAACGACGATGGTGACGACGATGACGATGGTGACGATGATGATGGTGACGACGACAACGACTAAAATTTATTATTATTATTTATTTATTTGTTTAAAAATCAATTTATTTGTTTATTAAAAAAAAAAAAGAGAAAATTGTTTTTCTTGTCGTTTGTTTGTTTGTTTGTTGTGTGTGCGAATTAGAATATGGTAAATTAACCGTAATCGAAACTAAATCGGCGGTAAATACAACGACGACGACGACGACGACGCATTTCATATTATTATTATTATTATCGTTTCGAAAGGTTTTTTTTTTTTTATGACTGCGTGAAAGCGTCACACGCATTTTTTTTTTTTACCTTAATTGTTTTTTTTCTACTAATTGCCAACGTGCAATGAGCTTTTTTTTTTTTTTTAAAACATTTTCGTTTCATTGTTTAAATTTTCAAATTCAAACCGAAACAATAACATAACGAAGTTAAAAGAGGGAGAGGGAGAGAAAAAAAGAAATTAGTACGAAAAAAAAAAACCCGGTAAAGTGTGGAAAATTTTAATGCCCCGTTACGAAAAAAAAAAAAAAAAAAACGTTAAAGTGATAAAAATTAATGAAAAAAAAACACAAAGGGAAGAACAATGAAACGTAATTAATAATAATGATAATAATGATAATAGTAATAATGATAATAGTTTTCAGGGA